GGTTGCAAATATCAAAAAACTTTCTATATGTGACACGGCACCAGAGTTAAGTTAGGGTTTTTCAAAATGCTGACACGCCGAGCTCAAAAGGTTCGCCATCACTGGCCTAGGAGGTAAAGGACTTAAATCTTGAATCCTCACTACCCTTCTTTAATATTCTCCATCAGGTTGCATGTGTTTGCCAGCTAGAATGTTCCTTGGCACAAATGTCATTGTAACAAAGCTTTCTGAAGACTTGCATCTGTTCCCACCCAAAAATGAATACTGTTGTTAGAGCGAGTAGATAAGACATGCAAACAATGCTTTGGAGTGTATCCTGAGATAAATAAATTACAGGGATTAGAAGAATTACCACCGCACAGAGAAATGTTTGCTCAGATACGCGTACTTGGGTCCCGGTTGAATGTGCTTATTGCATTTGCAAAGCTGCATTAACTTAGGGCGAAGTTATTTCTTGGGATGTCAGAGAATTAGCTTAATAATTCTCATTTATGGCTCTGTGATATTAATCACTTCAATCAGAAACCCTGGGCAAACACTACCGTAGAAAACACATTATAGCTTATACTTCATGATGAATAACTACAACACCGTTTCTACAAGAGATGCTTGTGAAGCATGACTGTCAAGGTGATAGCAGATTCGCCATAAAAAATTTAACAGGGAAATGCTCTCACGTGTATGAAGTTTAGAGACGGCAATGATGATGCCTAATATGTTATGTCTGTTAGAACAATTATACCCCATTCAACTCTGCCAATTTCACTAAAGAGGGAAAAAATGGATGGCTTTTTTTTTTTTTTAAAAGAAAGCGACATCATTGCCTTGGAACTTGTCACCTAGACGATGTGAGAAGCACACTTTCAGAACACTTTTAGCAGCTGTGGGGATTTGCATTGTATCTGGTGTGTGCTATGTGAGAAGCAATGCAGTAAGGTTATTTGAGGCCTGAATGAAAGAACCTCTCTATTCTCCTTCTCCATTATTAAAATGGAACATATCTGGCTTGGTAGATGTTTTACTTCTGTTAAGGACCTTATGAAATATCTTCTAATTGTACTTAGCTCGAGTCACAATATCACCAAAAGTAGCACAAGATATAACTCATGGCTAAGAAAGAAATGTAGTCATTAAGGTGATGGACTCTGAAATAAAGCCATCTTGATAGAAGTCATAATTTTACCCTTCACTCATTGCCTGACACTCAACTCTGAAACTCAGTTTTGCTGCATCCCTAAATCAAAAATCTGCCAGGGTTTCTTTGATTACTGATGGAAATTCATGTCAGATGCTCAATGAAAACTAGTCACCATCATTATTATTGTTTTTGACTTTGGGGTCACTATTGTTTTTTTTTAATGTCATGGCACCTTGATAAGTGTTATCTAAGGAGGTCCCCGACCTCATCGGATTAGATGGAAACGCCCTATGTCTGCTATATATAATCGCCTAGCACATTTGCCTTGACATTTAATATGGAGACATGCCCGGGGATTCCCCTTTCAGCAAAATGAAAGAATAAAAGGTACCAAGGGAGAAGCTGTGAAACACAGATTAACTCTTTTGTGGACAGCCTACATATGCAAATATTTATCAGGGGAATATGATAAGAGCCTTCTATTAGGCAACAGAGCAGGAAGGAGTTACTGGTGAGCAGGTGTGGCATCCCTTTAGCCAATTTTGCTTCAAAAGGACTTCTATTCCTGAATGCACCTTCTGAAGAAGTAACTCCTGAAGCATGTAAGCACATGTGAAGAATAAAGGCAAATAGTCCTGGCTGGTGTGGCTCAGTTGGTTGGGTGTCGTCCCAGGCACTAAAACGTTTCTGGTTTGAGTCCCAGTCAGGACACATACCTGGGTTGAGGGTGCAATCCCTGGTAGGGGGCATGTAGGGGGGTATGCAGGAGACAGCTGATCGTTGTTCCCCTCTCATCAATGTCTCTTATCATGGATGTTTCTATCTCTCTCTCCCTCTCTTCTCTCTCTAAAAATCAATAAAAATATATTTTTTAAAAAGAATAAAGGCAAATAGAAGATTTCTTGAAAATCTGTGGTGGAAATCATTCATAACTAAATGCATTCTAATAGGATAGTTAGTGGGTCGAGCTGCTCTAGACAGTAACTTTCTTAATGTTTCTAAGTAATCTACATGACAAAGACTCATACATGCTGGCTAGTGGCAGCTACACAAGTTATTTAATTAAGCCACCACTACCCAAACAATAAAAAAAACATAATAATTTGGCTTGCCTCAAATAAAGGAGCCTAGCTGCCTGTTATACCACATCTCAGAAGTTTGGTGCAAACATTATGCCCGCAATGAACATGTTTTTCCCACCATTTATTTAAGCCAATAACTCTGTTAGATGTGCACCTTTTTAAAGCCTACTCAACCACAAAGTCTCAGGGTGGGGTCTAGGGGTCTACATCTTAGTCTTCTAGGATGGTGATTCTGCTGCATGCATTGGTCTGAGAACTGTTTTGAGCCCAGGGAGGGGGTTGGTGTCGAGAGCTCCCACATTATTATTCATTAGGAGCCTGTGCATTGTCAACCTCACCCCACGCTCAGTGCATAATGTGCTGCAGAAAAAGGGATGAAATGGTAAATCTGTAAATCAACTTCCAAATATCCTGTGAACTGGAAATGGCTAAGACTTTGGTTGGAACCATTTTTGACACCTCGTTTTATTTTCATGCAGATGGCCACTGTCTGGTCATTTTATCTCAGAGTAGACGCCTGGTAGATCACTTGAAGGACTTTCTGTCATTAAAATGCATTAGGTGCCCATCTTAAAAAGGCCGGCATTTTCATTGATGTAAGAACATCTGAATACACTTAGCTTTAATCAATAGAAGAAAAAGAACACGTTTATGCAAGGAAGTGCCTCTCCACACAAGACTTTTTACAGACACACAGAAGAGATGGCAAAGGAAGGCCGCACACATGTCCCACGGAGAGCTACTATGACATCAATTAATTTTTAAATAATTGGACAGGTATTTCATGAAAATGACAAAAACAATTCTGGAGAGTATACAGGTTTTTTTTTTTTTTTTTAGAGTACATGTAAAGCATGCAGTTAAAATATTTTCCCTTCTACCAAGAAAGTTAGAATATAATTGAAAAATCTAATGTTTAGTAATTTATTGTGGAATAATTTAAAAGGAAGCTGAGAGCTAATATGCCTCTCTATCAGAAAACCTAAGTATATGTGGATGTTGGGATGAGGAAGTAAATTCTCGGGCCCTGCTTGGGTTTCTATGGCAGCAGACAGCTGTTGGTTTCTCTGAGACCACTGATTTGAAATAACCTGAGGCATGACACAGAAAACAATGAGCATCGTGGGGCCATATCATAATTCAGACTCTGTTTTCAAAAAAAACTATTCATTGTTTATCAATAACACTACACCTAAGTTAGATACTTATTAGCAGAATTTATTAAACTTTATTTTAGGCTATTTTATATTTACTCAAAAATATTTAATAGTGGCCAGAGTGGTTCAGTGGTTGACCGTTGATAATTCCTGGTCAGGGCACATGCCAGGGTTTTGGGCTCCATCCCCAGTGTGGGGCGTGCAGGAGGCAGCCAATCAATGATTCCCTCTCATCATTGATGTTTCTATCTATCTATCCTCCCTTCCTCTCTGAAATCAATAAAAATGTATTAAAAAATATTTAATAGCTGTAGGCCATTACTGTTAGTAACTTTTTTTAAAAAATATATGTTTTATTGATTTTTTACAGAGAGGAAGGGAGAGGGATAGAGAGTTAGAAACATCGATGAGAGAGAAGCATCGATCAGCTGCTTCCTGCACACCTCCTACTGGGGATGTGCCCACAACCAAGGTACATGCCCTTGACCAGAATCGAACCTGGGACCCTTCAGTCTGCAGGCCGATGCTCTATCCACTGAGCCAAACTGGTCAGGGTTGTCAGTAACTTTTTAAAAGGCAAGTAGTCAGCAAACAAATACATTTCTAATTATCTGATCTGTTAACAACCAAAAAACCTATCATGGGATCTATTAGAATATCTCCTATCAGTTCCTGTCTATATTATTTATTGATTTATTTTGTTCTGAGGTGATGAGTTCCTGTTTTGTTTTGTTTGTTTCTCCCTCTCTGCCATTGCAAAAGTGTCTGGCTATTTTTTATCTTTTATTTTTTTTTTTAGGGAAAGTAGATGAGAGAGGGAAAGACAGAGAGAAACATTGATGTGAGAAACACATGGATTGGTTGTCTCCTGCATGCGCATGCGCCCAGGCCAGGGCCCTGGTGGGGAAGAGCCTATAACTAAGGTACCTGCCTGGAACTGAACCCTGAACCTTTTGTTCCACAGGCTGATACTCTGTCCACTGATCCAAATCGGCTAGGGCAACAGTCACTTTCTTAGGCAAAACTTAACTTTCTCTTTCTCAGAAGATTTTTCTGTAGTGAATTGGAAGGGGGTGAAGGAGAGAAGAGGAAGTCAAAGGTGGTGCAGAAAAGACAGTAGTGATTTTGGTTTTCTACTGCTTCTCCTGCCGATCATTGCCTATTTATTTCTGATTATCAATATGAGCTTTCCTGAAATGCTAACTTCTATTTCTTTTTCTTTTTATTGATTTCATAGAGGAAGGGAGAAGGAGAGATAGAAACATCAATGATGAGAGAGAATCAATGATAGGCTGCCTCCTGCCCGCCCCCTACTGGGGATCGAGTCCCCAACCCAAGCATGTGCCCTGACAGGGAATTGAACCACGACTCCCTGGTTCATAGGTCAACGCTCAACCACTGAGCCATGCATTC